AAATAATAACGCCAAGACCAAGGAGATACAACTTAAGATTTTCCATATCAACATCCGATATATTTTTCTGCAGACTTATAATATACCTTTGTTTACCTAAGGACGAAGAAATTTAAAAACATATTTTAAAGAGTAAACAGTGAAATGAGTTTCCAATCATACTAGGTTTCTCGTTGGCAATGGGATAATTCTTGTCATTGCTTGTGGTAACAATGCAGACAACTGCGAAAATGAGTATAGATAAAAGAACGAAAATCACAAATTTCTTTCTGAGTGACATTATTAAAGGAAAAAAGTAGCAATTTGTCAAATAAATACATTAATTAAGGGTAGGGTGTACGTAGATCATTTTTCATATGGGCTAGGGTGCATATAGAATAACTTTCTTCTGATTGGTCAATCACTTACAATTGTATTTATACAGTTTAAAGTACTTAAGAATGTAACATTTCACAAGTAAAAAATAAAAATTACCTGTAAACTCGTCGCCAAATAATCCCGCACCTAGAGGTTCCTTATCTCGAGATAAAATTTCTACGTAGGTTATGATTATAGAACTATATGTAATTACTGTACCAAATCGTTAAATACAGCTAAGTTATTTAAAGAAAACTAACAGTACAACCGTTTTTTTTTAACAATAGATAAGCGATTTCCGAGCTATGTTAAAGAGGTTTAAAGCATAAAGAATGTTAATACATAATAATAGAGTTAGTAACGGTAATACGTAAAAGTATTTAAAACTTTATATACTGTACGTGTATTAGGGACCTCAGTGCGATGCGATGCGATTGGTCTAAATTATGCCCCCGATGCTCACCATTCACAAAATTATGCTGATAGTAAAATTATGCGATTTTTAAATAATAAATTTTATTTATTTATTGAAATTTAAAAAATTCAACATGCTAATCGAATTTTCAGACAAATCTGTCTGTTATCTGCTAAAATTTTATTATCCTTTAAACCGTCCGGTTTAGCGGGCAAATTTGCCCACTAAAATAATTGGACGAAGTAGAATATATTTTTTATGATCCAAAATCTCGAACCACACGTTACACACTCGATAGCCGCAATGTGGCATACTCGAAATGATTCAAACAAAGGACTGTAAAGTGAGCTATTTTACCCGAATTTTTATTATCTTTTTCACATTGCCCCAAAATCTTCGACAAACTTTAATGCAATCTGTAATGAAATTACATCATAAAACAGGGGCGCAACCGGCGCCCCACCTACTCTTGTATATTATAAAAAAATCATAAGATATTAGCCAGTCAGAATTTAGTATTTAGTTAGGTCACATAAAAACCTATGGTGATTTCGATCCAGCATGAAAATCCACTACGTATCGCTATCACGAATAAACTTTCTGTTTTTTTTTTTTCATTTTCCAACTTGTAAAAATGTATGTAAATTTGATCACATTTAGGCTGCTGTCAATAGAAGCTGGCAGATTTCTTACTGATTTTATTTCTTAGACGAATTTCTTTTTTATTAATTATATAATTATAGGTCAGAATATTGGATATCACAGCAAAAACATTGATGTCAATATTGTCGCATTTATATTGCGGACAATAAACCCGTAAGATATTTATCTTTTAGTTATGTCTATTATTTAATTTCTTGTTTGTTTTTCTCTTATGGAATTATATACTTTTTTTTAAGAGTCGGGCAAGGTAAAAAACATAGAGAATCATGAGAAATTTCTTAGAGATATTTATCGTAAAGAACATGAAAATCGTAAAGAAGCAGCAAAAACAAATTGTAAATTAGAGAGAATTGAAAAGGTATCGATTATTGACTGATATAAGAATATTCTGATCAATTTATTAATTTAATGCTTAAATTAATATTTAAGGCCGCAATGAAGCAATATAGAAGAGATATAGCATTTGAAACTCCTGATGCTACAGTACTTCATATATAAAACCTCCAACGAATTCAACAGTCTCAACAGTTAATGATTATGGTTATCATGGCATTAATTATACAGAATCAGCTTCATCACATCATACTTCAACGACACTTTACCAGATCAATCAATAGTAATGCCAATAAGTGCGTCAACAGTGGAAGATAGAGGAGATGGTACTGAACCTATTATAGGAGAATGGAGACCGGTAACTCCACCAATTACTCATAATGATTCATCTATTAAAAGATGATCCCACATTAGATTCAAAAACACAGCACGCATCAACTACTCAGATTGATGAAGATGAAGAAGATCCTGATGCTTTAAGAAATTTTAAAATTTTGAAAAATCTTTTCCAATTGATAATTAGATCAAGAAGTTATAAAAAAAAAAAGAGGAAGGTGTGTAGATGAAGGTGTAGATGAAAAAAGTAGTGTGGTTTTCAAAAAAAGAAAATTTGGTGATGGTAGTAATAAATCAAGAAATATTAGAAAAAAAAAATTAATTAAAAAAATTATTTATATAATATAATCAATTGTACGTTTTACATAATAAAATTAATAATTATTCTTAAAAAACACCTCAAGGTGCACGGCTGAAGTAATCAGTGGGATGTCGTAGACAATGTAATCATCAAAATTCTGTGACAGAATTAATCAGTTATAGCCAGCGATAAAAAAGTAATGTAAATACGAAAATCAAACTATTCTTAATGGTCATGTATTAGTGTATCAGGGAGTTACGTTGTAACTTTATATTCTGAAAAAATCGATATGAAATTTAAATTAATGATATGATATTAAATACATTTTATTTTACCCAAATTATTATGTTGACTCGTTTCGGATTAATAGTTATCGCGTTGATCTTTTAAAATATATACTTTAAATAACGTTATATGTTCTTATACAGTAATTATCACGAATTAAGTTTCGTATCCAGAAACTCAATAATCTTGGAAACGCATTTCATCAAATGGGCACACGTTTTTCTTTTAACCAAAAATTGTTGTTTTTCTTTTATAACGTAGTTAAACCAATATTTTGTTTATTAAATTGCTTCTACATAATATTAACTAACTTGAATAAATAGATTGACCCTTGCTGGAATCGAACCAACGGTATCAAAGTCCTAAGACTAAGAATCCAACCGACTTAGGGTCTTTACATAGCGCCAAAATCATACAACGACTATGGCGCTAAAACCTCGGAACTAGGGAAACGAAAGGAACTATCCTCCTTGAGGATCAGAGAATAGAACGGTACGAAACTTGAGAAGGATGTCGTACCCACA